TACCATCATACTCACCCTAGAGGAAAGCATAACATTCACATGGTTCCTATCGTAAAACCAAATCTACTTTCATTCCTTAATTTTCTATGACTTTTAAGTAACACTTAACTTTTCATAGCCTTATCATTCAAAACTTATTCCATCTTAAAAAACGTCTAAGTTGACCTTACCTCCCCACTTCCAAACTATCATATCTCCTTGGCTTCCAAAAATATAAGCCACTAATAGTAGAATAAAATACTTAGAGTCGACAAGACACCAAGTCATAATCCAATTTTATATTGTTATCCATCAAAAGACTTCAATTAACATGGAGGTATCTCTAAATCAAAGCCTAAATAGTGATGGAAGCTCACTTAAGATTAAGTCCTTCAGAGTCTAAGAAAGAAAGCACGACATTTTTATAGCCAAGGAATACCACATTATAGATTTTTGATCAACTTCGAAGAATAAAATGATTTAGCTCAGGTATTTCTAGCATGTGTGACCTATATGGTTGGAAAAATATACAAGTTAGGATTCTAACATAAAAGACGGTGCACCATTTGGACTTTTCAACAAAAAGTTATGATCAAATTAGTGAAAGGAAGTCTGTTTGACTAATGATTTTGCTCTACTTGTCCAACTCGGGTTTGGGTGTCTTTTGTCACAAATCATATCTCATACCCATCTCCAATATAGATAATATGACTTGCATAAAGATCCCTGTCAAGCATCATTTACAAACCAACTTCAACTTACCATCCACCTCTTAGAATAATCCAAAACGACATGATATAAAACTAGAATATACATCCCAAATTTTCATCAACTCCTCAAAGCTAGCTAATCCATGAATTCTAACATATAATTAATCCCTAAGCTAACTAAGCAACACATCACACATATCTTTTAAACATATCACTTCAAACAAATTCAACCCTAGAGTTTCTTTAATCAAACCTAATACTCTAGTGATAGTCCACAACCTACAACTCTCATATAAAACTTAATTCCTAACCTCTGATACCAAATCTATAACGCCCCAAAATCCACCTTGGACGACATTACTAATTAAAATCATTCACCTAATGAGAGCAACTAATCAAATTCATAAAAAGGTAAATTTTATTCATCATACATAACATCTACAACATCATCCAAAAGAATATGTCAAACCATGACATCTACATCCAAAAAGAGTATGTTAAACTATGATAATTGCAACTCAAGATCAAACTTAAAACTTGCAGTGGAATAAACAAAATAACATCTATCCATTGTATCAAAATACATCTCCTAGTCTAGGACATGGAGAGATCAATTCTAGACATCCACCTCGGGATCCACGCTTCTATCCAATGGCGCTTCCCAAGCTACCTACTCATCACCTCCGAGTTCTTCTTCTATACCGAAATCTGAGAATAAATATTGTTTGTAGGGGGTGAGCACTAAGCTCTGTAGCAACATTCTCCCAAACTCGAACAAGGTTTAGAAAACATATAAAGCAGTTCGGTCTCACTTTTCAAAATATCATATATAACTTGAAATAAAACAGTGACAATNTGCTTCCCAAGCTACCTACTCATCACCTCCGAGTTCTTCTTCTAGACCGAAATCTGAGAATAAATATTGTTTGTAGGGGGTGAGCACTAAGTTCTGTAACAACATTCTCCCAAACTCGAACAAGGTTTAGAAAATATATAAAGCAGTTCGGTCTCACTTTTCAAAATATCATATATAACTCGAAATAAAACAGTGACAATTTATTTGATCTTAAGTTAACGCAATGGCAATAGGTTAAATGAAAGGATTAAACATGTTGAATTAATCATTCAATAGCATCATCCTATATTCTCATGTATGTTGGTTGTTTCCCATGAATCTATACTACGATTCTACCTTGTTCACCCATCATAGCCACACAAACCAATTTAGGAAGGGTGTATACCATCTCCCATGATATTGAGAAATCCTTNGAATCTATACTACGATTCTACCTCGTTCACCCATCATAGCCACACAAACCAATTTAGGAAGGGTGTATACCGTCTCCCATGACATTGAGAAATCCTTCCAAAGAAAAGTATATCATCCCTCAGTCTCGAGCTTACGTGAACAATAGTGGTTGCTTTCACAAACAATAATCCACTACAAGTGTTAGGCAACCATCTCATCCCTACTGGGATAAACTAACCTCTAACACTCTAAGGCAGTTCTCGAATGCAATTTAAGTCCATCACAACAAACCATATAAGATATGCAATACCAACCATTTTTCTCAAATCACAAATAAATCCAAAAATCTCCAATTTNCCCCTACTGAGATAAACTAACCTCTAACACTCTAAGGCAGTTCTCGAATGCAATTTAAGTCCATCACAACAAACCATATAAGAGATGCAATACCAACCATTTTTCTCAAATCACAAATAAATCCAAAAATCTCCAATTTCATAAGTATTTTTTCAATATAGCATCTCAAGAAAAATAAGCAAGAGATCANTCCCTACTGGGATAAACTAACCTCTAACACTCTAAGGCAGTTCTCGAATGCAATTTAAGTCCATCACAACAAACCATATAAGATATGCAATACCAACCATTTTTCTCAAATCACAAATAAATCCAAAAATCCCCAATTTCATAAGTATTTTTTCAATATAGCATCTCAAGAAAAATAAGCAAGAGATCATTAAAAGATATAATTTTATTGTTCCAAATAAAGCACTAAGATTTTTGAATCAAGAACAAAAGAATATTAGGAAGAAAAATTTCTCTTTCTCAAAAAACTAGGTTTTGACATCAAGAACATGAATTTCTATGGTTATCAAATCAAAAGATATTCTTTNGGAAGAAAAATTCCTCTTTCTCAAAAAACTAGGTTTTGACATCAAGAACATGAATTTCTATGGTTATCAAATCAAAAGATATTCTTTTATTGTTCCAATAAATCTCTAGAGTTTTTGAAATCAAGAATAATGAGATATCAAGAAGGAAAATCTAAATCTCTCATGAAACAAGAGTTTTGATGTCAAGAACAAGGATTTTTTGGTTATCAAACCATAACTTCCTTCAATACATGCCAAGGTTTGCAAGAACATCAAGACACAAGGATTTCAATACATATATATGTAATATTAAGAGTCAAAACATGTATATATATAAACTCTAGCATCAATGGACAAGAGTGGAAGAAACCCCTACCTTGAATCAAAGGTTCCAAGTAAAGCCCAAGCTCTAGAGATCTCCTTCCTACCTTTTCTTTCTTCTCTAATCTTTCCCTAAGGTTCTAAGAGAGTTGTGGTGAGAGTGGAGTGAAATAATGGAGGAGAATGGGATGGAAATGGTGTTTTAAAGTCAGTCAATCCCGAATTTAACTGTTCATAGGGCCAAAAATTACATTTTTCTCCAAAAGTCCGATTTTGCCATTAAATATCTTCAATTTGATCCCTATGACTATGCTAAGGTTTTTAGACGTTCCGAATTCATTTTTAATGTTATTTTAACCTAAAAATATTTAGTTTTATGATTTATCTTTATACTAAAATAATTTACACCTGGAACACTAAAATTATTATTTTATTCCTCCAAACCGCTCTTAATAAAGGTTTAAATAGATTGACCCACCCGAGGTCCAACATACAATTCGTGGTACTCTAATATTGTCCATTTACAACATTTTCAGGAATAAATACTTAGTCCCAAAGCTTTGGCAACTTAGGCACTAGTACCCACACCATTTGGTGGAAGTACCTCGGTTTTCCTCCTTTTTGACCACGATCCATTTCGAAGTTGAAGAAGTTCAAAACATGAAAGTTGTAGATCTGGATGTCCTCTGTATTATGTCAAAATTTCAGCTCGCTGGAACGGTTGGATCAAAAGTTATGACAATTCTACAAAAACTGGTCCAGAGCATATAGTACCGGTACACCTTAGCTTCTGGTGTTCATAGTACCGGTACGCTGCCCAGAACGCCTGATTTTTCATTTCCAATCCATTCCAAACCCTTAAAAAACCAACCCAAACTTATACAACATAAATTTGTTCATCAAATATAGTTGATACAAGTTCTATTACAAACGATTTCATATATTTACCTGAGTTTTACAATATTAGCATTTCAAAAAGAAATGATTACTTGCCATATAAAGATGAAAGTGGGTGGGAGGGAGTTTATCCAATAGTCAATTTTTTCGAAACTCAAACTTCATGATCAATCTTTTAACAATAATTCTAAGTTTATACCATCATTTTATTCATCTTAGGAGAAATCTTAATATAACAGTATCCTTATTTAATTTTTAATATGTGGTCTTACAAGTACCAAGCAATAATATATCAATGTAGTCCATCAAACATTTGTGCCGTGGATGTTGGCACTATGTGTCAAACCACATATTTCTTTAGTTAGACCCATTTAATAAGTCAATCAAAACAAACCTGACCATGCATAAATTGAAAGAGACAATTTATATCCATTATAGAATGGTCGGATATGAGTTAAACAAATTCAAGCATTAGAAAGCTTAGACACAATGATGCATTGTATAACTCCTAAACTGAAGCATTGGAAAGCAAGTCAAAGGTTCATCAATCATAATTGGACTTATTTTTGGTTTGCATGATTGGTGACCAAAGCAACTGAAAAGTGATACACTAATGCTACACTGACCAAATTTTGGGACCAAGTGATATATCGAATTATTCATGCATGAAAAAACTTTTGGCCTACATGGGATTTGTCTCTGTCCTCTACACTGCTCACTGCTAGTCTAAGCAATTACAACTGGATAATTAAGTCTCCTTTAGAGCTCCAATGGCATATCATTAGATTCATAAAAACACTAGAAAAACCCTATAATATATTCCTATATATTTACATATAGTCTAATTATCTTGCACTCTGAATTTGGCCGCATTTACTAGTGAAAGTTGTTCATCTTAAGCAACAGCCATGGAGTGAGAAGGGCATAAGAACCATAACTCTTGGCCTTTTCACATGTACCCAAACGATGGATTTAATTGAAAGGACTGCACGAGCTATGTTTGAAACTCCAACCGTGATTAATTTCTTCATTGTCCATCTCTGCTAAAACCTTGTAGAAAAGATCAACCTCACATGGGAGCAAGATGGGTCCTTCACTGTTGAACCCATACTCCATTTCAGCATCTTCAAGAAGTATCTTGAACAGTGGATGATTGGCATACTCAATCTTGATTACAAACCTTTCTGTCTCCTCCCCTACATAGACTGTGAAGCAACCCACTAGATAGGGGGCGGAGGCAGTGGGGGCAAATGGCCCCACAGAAATTTTAAAAATTTGTATGGTTAATTTAAAATTATAATAATAATTAATTTTTTTAATAATTTGCTGCCACTTATTTTTTTTTAATGCACTAAAAATTTTGACTCAAGGTTCGCTCATAGAGACTTAATCTCACAATTTTTTATTTAATCTTTAATTGTCTTTATTCTTTCAACAGTGACTCACTTAAGTTACTGAATCAATCCTTCTCTGAATTCGATTACTAAGACATACATATATATTTTTGACCAATTATCTAAGTTCAAATATACTACATCATTTTCTAAGATTTTAGATTTGGGCATATACAAAAATTTGATCTAATTATGATTCAATTCAATTCACTTCGATCAAATATACTACATCATTTTCTAAGATTTTACTTTTGGGCGCATAAAAAAATTTGATCTAGTAATGATTCAATTCAATTCACTTTGATTCAATTTGATATGCATACACAAATATGTATATGTAAACATTTGATAAAACTAAACAATTAAATTGAATTACAATTACAATGCGACACACGCACACACACAGATATATATATATATATATATAAATAAGATTAGATTTTTGATAAAATTCATAATATTTAATAGATTCGAATATGGATTAAAAAAATGAAAACAGTTGAATAATTAGATTAGATTCAAAATAGGATTTTTAAGACAAATTGTCATTCGGATGAATCAAAATCTTATCATTGACAAGCACACTCACAAAATGATATGTCAAAAAAGCATTCTCTATAAAAATTGACTTTATTCTAATACTTTAAAAATAATAATATTAGTTTTTCATAGTTGACTATCATTTTTTTACGTGTATTTATATGTGAAATCTTTGAAAGTAAAAAAAATAATAAGAAGAATTATTTTTACAAAAGGTGTTAGATTAGGAATTTTTTTTTTATAGAGAATGAAATTTTGAGATAATAAATATGTTCACTAGATGCAACGAACTTTGATAATTATTGAGTAATCATTCTCTTTAACTTGATGGTGGCCTCCACTGAAAAGAAATTCTGCCTCCGCCCCTGCCAATGGAGCTATGTTTTGGCCTTACAGTGCCATGATTTGCTCTTTGACAAAGGATTCGAATGCAGAGTTGATGATGTCTTGGGACCACCATTGAGTGATCTACTATGCTCCCATATCTTGACGAAGAAGTTCTTCTTCTTCTCACCCTTACCTGTTTCAATATCCATTCTCAGAATGAGAAAAAACTTAAAATATTCCGTGGGTTTTCGATTATTGTTCAAGTTTCAACCTCTATCTAAGGCCAAATAGAACATGGACCTCAATCTTGGCCTTGTTGTATTACTTATGTCTCAGTGAGGTGGAAAACAAAGGCTATTAGTGGAACAAGAGTGTGAAAGGAGCCANTAACCCCTCCACCACAAATAAATTAAATACTGAAAAGCTAAAAATAATAGAAAAGAAAGTGGATTCATGTTTGATAATTTTGGGGCTTTTGTTTCATCAAATATACATTAAGCATGTTATTTTTACAATTATTGTGAATTTTTTGCCTATTTATTATCATTAATAATTTTTTTTAATTTTTAATTATATTACCGGTTGAACCAGTGACCCAACGGTTGAACCAGTGATCCATTGATCCGGTCCCTCTTTCGGGTTGATGTTCGGGCCAGATTTTAAAACTATGGTCTAAACCCATAAAAAGGATGGAGAGAGAAGATAGAGACTCGCAAGAGATAGTCTTCTGACCTACGCTAATTGGGTAATCTCTTTATAGGAGTTAGGAAGAGGCCACACTCATTTATGTGAGAAAATGTTTCGGTGGGTTTAATGTCATCACCAATAAAGAATTGTACTGCCAAATGAATATGTTTCACCTATCATCTCTGAATTTTTTTCAAAAAATCCATTTCATTTGGCGCACACTACATGACAGAGTCACATGATTTGTTAAACCCACGTAAAATTTGTTATATTTATGTATGCTAGTTATTATACACATGCATTACACGTGGATCGATTTGAGTTGAATTATTTTGAATAAAANGGGCGCACACTACATGACAGCGTCACATGATTTGTTAAACCCACGTAAAATTTGTTATATTTATGTATGCTACTTATTATACACATGCATTACACGTGGATCGATTTGAGTTGAATTATTTTGAATAAAAGTTATGGACTACTTTCTCTAAAATCCTTATCTTTGATAAATAGTGATAATTAATTTGTTAAGAGTCACATTTCATAGAAAATCTAATAAATGTTGACAAAATAATATATAATAGAACAGTTGATATAAATACATCATTCACCATTTCATCTTTGTGTTTTATATTTTTAACATATTTAAGAAACAAATTCAACAAAAGCGACTAGGATTCAACAAGTCACATCTGATGTAGAATAGTTGATCATACATTTGAAAAACACATGCCAATGTACAAGACTTTCTTGGACACTATTTATATGATTTAATTTTTAGTCACCAGATTAGAAACAATTATACTCTCAAAAATAGAGGAAAACACGTTATAAGCCCAAATCAAAATAAAGAACAAAAATATATTGAAAATTTCTTTTAGACCATCAAATGAAGAACAAAATCTTTTAAATTAAAGAAACGAATCAAAAAGAAAAAAGAACCTGTGGACAAGGAGATCTATGTTCATACTTGCACAAAACCAAAGAAATCTTGAATTCTTTCTCTCAAATTAAGAAAAATGTATTGTAAAAAATAATGTGTGATAAGACATGAAAAAAAACGTAGCCGAAAACAAAGGAGTTATAAATAGAAGTGGAAAATTGAGTAAGACTCTTAAATTATCATTATTTTCATTTATAGTCGGTACAAAATAAGAGATGAACGTGTTTTAATATAATTCTTAATTTCGGTGTGGATAACCTGTTTTTAACCAGANGTAAACCCGTGAGAACCGGACAAGTTTAACAAACCGACCGGTTTAACTTCCTTCCTATAAATCTTAAGATTTTTGTTTATTTAGGCATTTTTCCCCTTTACGTTTTACCCTAAATCGTTCCACTTCCACCAGACGAGCAGCCTTGCAACGCCTCCACCACCAACCAGCTACCAGACCAGCCTCGCAATGCCTCCACCACCAACCAACGACCAGACCAGCCTCCACTTCAGCACCAGCAGCGATCAGACCAGCGAGCAGACCACTAGGTAGCAGCAGCTGAGCAGAGCTCCACCAGCGACTGAGGACAGCCTCCACCAGCGACGAGGTGAGTTCCCTCCCCCCCTTCTCCCTCTCCCTAATGTCTACTGACTCTACTCTTTCTCTCTCTCTCAGTATATATTTGTGGGTTGGCATTTTTTTTTGTGGGTTACGAATATTTATTGGATTTATTGCCTTATGTTTGTTGCTCCTGTAATTGTTCGTCAGTCCAGTCCTCAGTTTCTTCTCTCTCTCTCTCTCTTTGCTTCTCCCTCTCTTTCTCTCTTTTAGTCTCTATCTCTCTCTCTTCTTTGCACTATGTCGAAGTCGAGGTAGGAGGGATTCACTGGCCAGAGCTCCATCGCCGATTTCCATTTCCTAGCATCCCTCAAGTGTGAAATAGCACACAGCATAGCAGGTACATCCTCTCCTCTCTCTCTGTAGTCTGAAGTACTCTGCGTTGTGGGTTTGTGGGGATGCTCCAGTTTAAGGATTTAATAGTTCACTGATAATGGCTGCATGCTCTAGATTGGTAGATCTATTATAATTGGTAGATCCTCAATTATTTTGTGTAATTGATTTTCATTTTTAGTTTGCTGCAAAGTTTTGCTTTGAAGTGTATGTCATACGTTGATGTGGGTTCAATTCAATGGCTGTTTATGTGTGTTTCTCATATTTTTCCATAATTAAGAATGATTTGTGTAACCCCTCCACCACAAATAAATTAAATACTGAAAAGCTAAAAATAATAGAAAAGAAAGTGGATTCATGTTTGATAATTTTGGGGCTTTTGTTTCATCAAATATACATTAAGCATGTTATTTTTACAATTATTGTGAATTTTTTGCCTATTTATTATCATTAATAATTTTTTTTAATTTTTAATTATATTACCGGTTGAACCAGTGACCCAACGGTTGAACCAGTGATCCATTGACCCGGTCCCTCTTTCGGGTTGATGTTCGGGCCGGATTTTAAAACTATGGTCTAAACCCATAAAAAGGATGGAGAGAGAAGATAGAGACTCGCAAGAGATAGTCTTCTGACCTACGCTAATTGGGTAATCTCTTTATAGGAGTCAGAAAGAGGCCACACTCATTTATGTGAGAAAATGTTTCGGTGGGTTTAATGTCATCACCAATAAAGAATTGTACTGCCAAATGAATATGTTTCACCTATCATCTCTGAATTTTTTTCAAAAAATCCATTTCATTGGGCGCACACTACATGACAGCGTCACATGATTTGTTAAACCCACGTAAAATTTGTTATATTTATGTATGCTACTTATTATACACATGCATTACACGTGGATCGATTTGAGTTGAATTATTTTGAATAAAAGTTATGGACTACTTTCTCTAAAATCCTTATCTTTGATAAATAGTGATAATTAATTTGTTAAGAGTCACATTTCATAGAAAATCTAATAAATGTTGACAAAATAATATATAATAGAACAGTTGATATAAATACATCATTCACCATTTCATCTTTGTGTTTTATATTTTTAACATATTTAAGAAACAAATTCAACAAAAGCGACTAGGATTCAACAAGTCACATCTGATTTAGAACAGTTGATCATACATTTGAAAAACACATGCCAATGTACAATACTTTCTTGGACACTATTTATATGATTTAATTTTTAGTCACCAGATTAGAAAAAATTATACTCTCAAAAATAGAGGAAAACACGTTATAAGCCCAAATCAAAATAAAGAACAAAAATATATTGAAAATTTCTTTTAGACCATCAAATGAAGAACAAAATCTTTTAAATTAAAGAAACGAATCAAAAAGAAAAAAGAACCTGTGGACAAGGAGATCTATGTTCATACTTTCACAAAACCAAAGAAATCTTGAATTCTTTCTCTCAAATTAAGAAAAATGTATTGTAAAAAATAATGTGTGATAAGACATGAAAAAAAACGTAGCCGAAAACAAAGGAGTTATAAATAGAAGTGGAAAATTGAGTAAGACTCTTAAATTATCATTATTTTCATTTATAGTCGGTACAAAATAAGAGATGAACGTGTTTTAATATAATTCTTAATTTCGGTGTGGATAACCTGTTTTTAACCAGATCAATGAAAAGATTAATCTAAATGCACCTAAGTTAACTAATCGCGTATTCATTGTAAATGACAAATTATTAGGACAAAAGAATTGTGCTCACGTTCAAGTCCACGTATAACATCGGAGCCAACACAGTCATTTTCACACTAGTAACGGAAGTAGACAATTTTTTCGTCTGACTAGCCGACATGAAAACCAACGCCCATTACATCAAGGGTGAAAAGAGTACATGATACTTGCACTAAAATAGTAGAATATTTCCTTAGAACATTGGAACTTGGAATCATTAGAAGGCCATTCATGCGCATCATTAACTTCATAGACATTGAAGTCATTAACTTTGGTCGCCATCATAAAATCTAGAAAATTATTATTACATCAAAGAGTTGTTTTTGGGTATTGCATCGAAAGTATGACTTTTTTTTTTGGGGGGGGGGGAGTAGAGGAAAAAGAGAGTTTGAACTCTTGTCCTCAAGAAGACAAAATTTTCATAAGAAAATAAGTATCATTGGACCAAAAACTCATTGATCATCAAAAGTATGACTCAATCACAGTGAGATGATGATTAAGTAAGATGATATTAAATTAAAATGGGGCCGTTTGGTTTCATTTTTAATGTTAAGATCAATCATAACATTCTAGTATTGATCTNTTGTGTTATAGATTTTCATTTTTAGTTTGCTGCAAAGTTTTGCTTTGAAGTGTATGTCATACGTTGATGTGGGTTCAATTCAATGGCTGTTTATGTGTGTTTCTCATATTTTTNCAATTATTTTGTGTAATTGATTTTCATTTTTAGTTTGCTGCAAAGTTTTGCTTTGAAGTGTATGTCATACGTTGATGTGGGTTCAATTCAATGGCTGTTTATGTGTGTTTCTCATATTTTTCCATAATTAAGAATGATTTGTGTAACCCCTCCACCACAAATAAATTAAATACTGAAAAGCTAAAAATAATAGAAAAGAAAGTGGATTCATGTTTGATAATTTTGGGGCTTTTGTTTCATCAAATATACATTAAGCATGTTATTTTTACAATTATTGTGAATTTTTTGCCTATTTATTATCATTAATAATTTTTTTTAATTTTTAATTATATTACCGGTTGAACCAGTGACCCAACGGTTGAACCAGTGATCCATTGACCCGGTCCCTCTTTCGGGTTGATGTTCGGGCCGGATTTTAAAACTATGGTCTAAACCCATAAAAAGGATGGAGAGAGAAGATAGAGACTCGCAAGAGATAGTCTTCTGACCTACGCTAATTGGGTAATCTCTTTATAGGAGTCAGAAAGAGGCCACACTCATTTATGTGAGAAAATGTTTCGGTGGGTTTAATGTCATCACCAATAAAGAATTGTACTGCCAAATGAATATGTTTCACCTATCATCTCTGAATTTTTTTCAAAAAATCCATTTCATTGGGCGCACACTACATGACAGCGTCACATGATTTGTTAAACCCACGTAAAATTTGTTATATTTATGTATGCTACTTATTATACACATGCATTACACGTGGATCGATTTGAGTTGAATTATTTTGAATAAAAGTTATGGACTACTTTCTCTAAAATCCTTATCTTTGATAAATAGTGATAATTAATTTGTTAAGAGTCACATTTCATAGAAAATCTAATAAATGTTGACAAAATAATATATAATAGAACAGTTGATATAAATACATCATTCACCATTTCATCTTTGTGTTTTATATTTTTAACATATTTAAGAAACAAATTCAACAAAAGCGACTAGGATTCAACAAGTCACATCTGATTTAGAACAGTTGATCATACATTTGAAAAACACATGCCAATGTACAATACTTTCTTGGACACTATTTATATGATTTAATTTTTAGTCACCAGATTAGAAAAAATTATACTCTCAAAAATAGAGGAAAACACGTTATAAGCCCAAATCAAAATAAAGAACAAAAATATATTGAAAATTTCTTTTAGACCATCAAATGAAGAACAAAATCTTTTAAATTAAAGAAACGAATCAAAAAGAAAAAAGAACCTGTGGACAAGGAGATCTATGTTCATACTTTCACAAAACCAAAGAAATCTTGAATTCTTTCTCTCAAATTAAGAAAAATGTATTGTAAAAAATAATGTGTGATAAGACATGAAAAAAAACGTAGCCGAAAACAAAGGAGTTATAAATAGAAGTGGAAAATTGAGTAAGACTCTTAAATTATCATTATTTTCATTTATAGTCGGTACAAAATAAGAGATGAACGTGTTTTAATATAATTCTTAATTTCGGTGTGGATAACCTGTTTTTAACCAGATCAATGAAAAGATTAATCTAAATGCACCTAAGTTAACTAATCGCGTATTCATTGTAAATGACAAATTATTAGGACAAAAGAATTGTGCTCACGTTCAAGTCCACGTATAACATCGGAGCCAACACAGTCATTTTCACACTAGTAATGGAAGTAGACAATTTTTTCGTCTGACTAGCCGACATGAAAACCAACGCCCATTACATCAAGGGTGAAAAGAGTACATGATACTTGCACTAAAATAGTAGAATATTTCCTTAGAACATTGGAACTTGGAATCATTAGAAGGCCATTCATGCGCATCATTAACTTCATAGACATTGAAGTCATTAACTTTGGTCGCCATCATAAAATCTAGAAAATTATTATTACATCAAAGAGTTGTTTTTGGGTATTGCATCGAAAGTATGACTTTTTTTGGGGGGGGGGAGTAGAGGAAAAAGGGAGTTTGAACTCTTGTTCTCAAGAAGACAAAATTTTCATAAGAAAATAAGTATCATTGGACCAAAAACTCATTGATCATCAAAAGTATGACTCAATCACAGTGAGATGATGATTAAGTAAGATGATATTAAATTAAAATGGGGCCGTTTGGTTTCATTTTTAATGTTAAGATCAATCATAACATTCTAGTATTGATCTCACTTGTTTTTGGCTGTAAATTTATCTTTTTTAATTGCAAGTTGTCCCAAATTGAATGGTAACTAAAATAATTTTTGGAGAAAAAAGCAGCGTAGTGAATAAACAAATTTAGAATTAGATTAGTACGACAAGCAGGAAGTGAATGAATAATTATTGAAACTNGTAACCCCTCCACCACAAATAAATTAAATACTGAAAAGCTAAAAATAATAGAAAAGAAAGTGGATTCATGTTTGATAATTTTGGGGCTTTTGTTTCATCAAATATACATTAAGCATGTTATTTTTACAATTATTGTGAATTTTTAGCCTATTTATTATTATTATTAATTTTTTTTAATTTTTTAATTATATTACTGGTTGAACCAGTGATTCATTGACCCGGTCCCTCTTCCGGGTTAATGTCCGGGCCGGGTTTTAAAACTATGATATATATAGACATAGATCTACAGTTTGTCATTGTGTGTAATTGCTGTGTGTGAGTGCGTCTGTGTTGTGTGTGTGTGAATGTGTTGTGTGCGTGGGTGGGTCTTAATGCGTCAATAAACTTGTGTATATGTTGGGTTCAATTTTTTAGTGCATATATGTTGAATATATGTTCAGTTGAATATAATGATTTCCAAGCATATTTTTTTATTTTTCAGTTTTTATCACAGGCAAAACAAAATATTACCAAACAACCCTTAATTTTTGATCCCTTTGAACTCACCCTCAAGTCCTTTCAAGTTTCAACTACGGAAATCAAGCCCATCGAAATTCGAGCTACATGACTAAACTCAAGGGTGCCAACAGATTACCTTTCAGATACCAACACTCCAATCCATTCAAGCAGCGCCCACAAGTTTCTTTCTCTCTCTCATATAAATAGAGACCCCCAGTCTGTAATTTCTATCTCACCAGTCTCAACATTTTCTATTTTGGCATTGAAAGCAATGGCACCAACGGCAGCTATGCTCATACTGGGTTATAACAGCAGATCAGCTTCACACCCATCTCCTCCTCCTCCTACTCCCCCATCAACTGCACCAGTTTTCCAAGTGAAGGCCTTGGCATTGAAGTGGCTTTCAGACAATTCCATAATTCAACAAACGTCTGAAACAAAGCAGGCCATGGTGAGTCGGTCGTCTTCATCTTCGGACTCTGCTGTGGAAAAGAGGTATCAAGAAGTCCTTGAACTCAGCTGCTGGTAAATACAGATTGGCAACAGACCAGGTCCTGTGAGGTTGCTAAAGCAAGGTCCTACTCGTGTAAATTTTCTGTGAATGTTGACAATTTATCATGTACTGATTTATAGGAACAATAATCTCGCTCTCTCTCTCTCCTGTTAAACCATGTTATTGCAATAATAACATATATTCCAAACATTTGCCAATCAAAGGGTTCAGTTATATCCAGGTCCATCGCTCTCTCTCTC